GCGGGATCAGGCAGTGTTTCGTTCTGCTGTGCATGGGGTCGCTATGAGTCGGAAACGACTCGACGACACTTAACAACAACAACAACAACAACAAGCTATGAATTAAAATTAAGGAATTTTAAAATTAAGGAAGCACACAGTCTTTTTAATTCATGAGGTAATGGACTTGTTATTGACTGTCTTTGTTTTTGTTACCTCTAGTGCTGCTCTGACAGGAATATACCACAAATGGGATGGCTTTAACAAACAGAAGTTTATTCTCTTACAGTTTTGTAGACTTTAAGTATGAGTTCAAAGCCTCAGACTCTAGGGGCTGGGTGAAAGGCCCTCAACCTTGGGCTTCAGTTTTGCTTCCTGCTCCTGGCCCACTGAAGCTGGAGGCTTTTCTTCACTCACACAGCTGCTGGCTGCTGAGGCTGACAAGCCCAAGGTTGACAAGTAAAATGGCACAGTCCCAATGTTACCAAACAACATGGCAGGCCACTAATTCAAGTCCAGATGAATTCCCAAGATTGGCAGGGCATGGCAGGGTGTTGAACAATGACTTGGCTTTGTGCACGGTTTAAGTGTGCCAAAAGGCTAGAGACCAATCCCAAAGCTTCTGCTTATATATGGGAAGCAGACCACATGTATAAAGCAGCTACTCAGCTGCTTGTGGCAGATTCCACCATGGAGTTGATTGCCAGTCTCATCATGGGGAATAACTACCTCCAACTTGCCTGGCCATGTTGACACACAAACTTAACTATCACAACCTTTTTTGAATCAGAAAAGGCAAATAGACAGTGTTGCTAAGTAGTATTTCCTGGTAGAAAAAATAAGTTATAACTGTTGAAGTTTGGATCAGACTTTTATGGTTAATTTTTGGGCTGTATATAAGAGAAATCTCTTAAAATCAAAGTAAGATGCCTATTAATTTTTTTTCCCCCACAGAATATGATTTTCTTTCTAGTATAGTATCTTAGAACTATGTCCAAAGACAGAAAACTTTAGTTAACAAGAACTCCATGATAGTGTTTCTTAAGATTATTAGATTGCCCACTGGCTCTTCACTGTAAATTAGTTTTACTTTCAGTCCACTTGAAATTCTGCAGAGCCTGGTTATCCAGTTTTATCATTATCTATGTCAACTGTTTTTCCTTTTATTCTTTATTCTTTCTGGCTATCTCACTGTTTTTAAAGATGAAAGGGAATGAAGGAAATGTTGCTGACTTTTTAAGTAAATGTATGGTTTTGTTATAGAGGATATTGTATCTGACAATGTAATATCAAATGAGACACAAATAATACAGAATTAGTTTTGTTATTCCAAGTCCTCATTACAGAGAGTCTGAGCTTAGTACTATATGTCTTTTCTCCAGTAACTTTTTCTTTGAATACTTGTTGTTGTTGTTGTTGTTGTTTTGCCATCGAGTCAGCCCCGACTCATAGCGACCCCTCCTTGGGTTTCCGAGGCAGTATCACTACGGAAGTAGGAATGCCCAACTTTCCTTCCGAGGAGTGGCTGGTGGGTTTGAACCGCCAGCCTTCTGGTTAGCAGTCAAGTGCCTTAGGCACTATGCTACCAGAGCTCCTTAGATAATATATATTTGTTGTAGCAATTTGGAAAGAACAGGAAAGTACAAAGAAGAAAGTAAATATTACCACTTGTATTCCAGTGTTTAATAATAATCACTGTTAATATTTTGATGGCAGCTCTGGTGGTGTAGTGCCTAACGCACTTGACTGCTAACCAGAAGGCTGGCAGTTCAAACCCACCAGTCACTCCTCAGAAGGAAGATTGGGCAGTCTACTTCTGTAGAGATCAAACTACCAAAACCAAACTCGCTGCTGTCGAGTCAGATCCAACTCATAACGACCTCTCCTTGGGTTTCCGAGGATTATCTCTTGGATATCCAAGGAGTGGTATCCATATATTCGTTTTGAAGGCTCATTAACAACCTGTGTTATGCAGACAACACAACTTTGCTCACTGAAAGTGAGGATGACTTGAAACACTTACTGATGAAGATCGAAGACTACAGTCTACAATATGGATTACACCTCCATATAAAGAAAACAAAAATCCTAACAACAGGACCAGTAAGAAGCATCACTATAAATGGAGAAGAGATTGAAGTTGTCAAAGACTTCATATTACTTGATTCTACAGTCAACACCAATGGAAGCAGCAGTCAAGATACCAGACATCATATAGCATTGGGCAAATCTGCTGCAAAGGACCTCTTTCAAGTGCTGTAGAGCAAAGATGTTTCCTTGAAGACTAAGGTATGCTTGATGCAGGCCATGGTATTTTCAGTTGCTTCACATGCATGTGAGAGCTGGGCAATGAAAAAGGAAGATCAAAGAAGAGTTGATGCTTTTGAGTTGTGGTGTTGGTGAAGAATGCTGAAAGTACCTTGGACTGCTAAAAGAACTAATGAATCTGTCCTGAAAGAGGTGCAACCGGAATGCTCTTTGGAAGCGAGAATGGCCAGACTTTGTCTCACCTGCTTTGGTCATGTTGTAAGAAGGGACCATTCCCTAAAGAAGGATATCATGTTTGGTAAAGTGGAGGGACAAAGAAAAAGGGGAAGGCCCTCAATGAGATGGATTGACACAGTGGCTACAACAATAGGCTCAGGTATAGCAAAGATCATGGAGTTGACACAGGACTGGGCAGTGTTTCATTCTGCTGTACATGAGGTTGCTGTGAGTCGGAGATGACTCGATGGCACCTAACAACAACAGTATCATTTTTAATAGCTGGACATTTTCTATTGTGTGGATGTGCTGTGATTTATTTAGCCAGTTTGAAATTCAGAAAGAAATTCAGCTTTTTTCCAGTTTTTCTATAATACAACTGTCATAGACTTCATTATAGAAAACTCTATGATTATTTCTCATGAGGATCTTAAGAACCTGTTTAGATATTTATAAATGAAATCCTATGAAAAAGGAAAGTTAAAAAATTACATAGTATTGCATAATAAACCAGTGGCTTAATCCTAATTCTTAATTAATCTAGGGTTCAGTCCACATTTACTGTGGTATTTTAAATGGCAATATATTTAGGTTGATTTATGGTTTGAGTTATAAATGATTTATTTGTAACTGAAGTCAGTTTGAAAGCTGTGGTTTTGAGATTGCACAGTAAACTTTTACTTTATGTGTCATATCTTTTATTCCATATATTTTTCATGACCTTAAAAAGTTTATTGATTTTTTAATTGTGGTTCATTTCCTGAGGATTAATTATTTGCTTTCTTTTTAAAAGTCTAAATAATTATATGTGCTAAGTATTTTATTAGTAACATGTATTTGTATGTCTCAGACTAATTCCAGAAGTGTTCTTAATAAACCTACTGTTCTCCCTGGCATATACCTATAATATGAATTGTTTAGAATTGGTTGCTGAATATCTTATATAATACTTTATACTTTAGTGTAGAACATCTTCTCTGTAAAATATATCTGCATACACCAATACCATGTTAACTCTTGAATGTTTTGTATATACTTGCATCAGAATTGATTATGACCATAAAGGTTTTTTTTATTAACATGGATATTGGAAAAACTGGTTGTTCTAATTATCTTAGCTATAACAAATGGAGCTGATTTTTGTTAGAATTGCCACATCAGTTCGTGTGACCACCTTTATGATGCTTTTATTCCTTACCTTCCTTACCTTCCACTCCTCTGCCCCATTCAAGTGAAAATTAATCACTTCTATGGTACTTTGTGTATACCTTTGAAAGGTATAAACATTCTTACATTATAATTATGTGTGAGAGTGACTATTCTCTCCATAAGTTATAGGTTTCTTTAGGAATGGAATTTTGTTTTATACGTGTTTGTATTCACCCAGTTAATATTATGCAAAATTTTGAGCCACGTATTTTGGGGGCAAATACTTTAGTGTTCAATAAACGTTCATTGAGTGGAACTGAATAAAAATATAAACTCGGTTCCTTGATAACTAGCAGAACTTTATATTTCCTAACAAGGCTTATTAATAATTAAAATTTTCAGGAGTGAATTCATTTTTACTTTATTTCAAGCATATATCTTAGTGTCTACCCTTTTCAACTAAAACAAATATTTCTTATTTTAGGATTTATTCACACAGATATGACAAAAGACTTGAATGAAGAACATTTAAAGAAAAATATTCCTCTTCAGAGGTTTGGAGAACCTGTTGAAGTGGCACATGCAGTTGTATTTCTTTTAGAATCATCATATATTACAGGGCATGTTCTGGTAGTGGATGGGGGATTACAACTTGTAATGTAATTTACAGATTATTCAATAATAATAGAATCAAGGGCATACTTTAACAATCATACCTATATGGGTATGATTTGCTAATCAAACCTATTGACGCTACAAATGTTGATTTCCATCTTTATATAAATATATAAATATTATATAAATATGTCTGTAAAGAACAATATATGACCATCAGTGTTTTCTAAAGGGTATGTTTCATTTATTTTTGTCATCTTACAGAATTTATCAATTTCAGTATGTAGTCATTTTTTTTTAGATGTTTACCTGTGTTTTATTGCCTATGGAAAGGCATTTAACTGTGTAGATCATAGCAAATTATGGATAACATTGCAAAGAATGGAAATTCCAGGACACTTAATTGTGCTGTCATTCAAACACAACAAGGGGATATCACACAGTTTAAAATCAGAATAGGTGTGCATTAGGGTTATAGCCTTTCACCATACTTATTTAGTCTATATGTTAAGCAAATAATCCAAGAAGCTGGACTATATGTGAAGAAGAATGAGACATCAGGATTGGAGGAAGACTCATGAACAATCTGATGTACAGGTAATACAATCTAGCTTGTTGACAGCAAAAAGGATATGAAGTACTTACTGAAGAAGATTAAAGATTACATATAACCTTCAGTATGGGCTACATCTCAGCACAAAGAAAACAAAAATCCTCACAGCTGGACCATAAAGGTTACAGCCTACGAAACCCTATGGGGCAGTCGTACTCTGTCATATAGGGTTACTATGAGTCGGAATCAACTCAACAGCACACAACAACACATTGCTGCCCAGCTAGTCTGGTCCAATCCGGCAAATACTATTTTTGTATGACCCAAGAGGTAAGAACTTTTTTTTTTTTTTAACATTTTTAAAAGCATTGAAAAAAAATAAAGAATATAATATGTGATCATCGGAGCACACAAAGTCTAAAATATTTACTATCTGACCCTTTACAGTAAAAGCTTACTTCTCTCACCTACACAACAGCCTCCCAGCTGTTATTTCTGCTTTCAGTCTTGCCCCACTATAGTTACACTTCTCTGTACACCCAGAGTACTTTTTTAAACAAAATGTAAATCAGATCATGCCATTTCCCTGCATCTTGTTGCACATGGAATACGACCCAAACACCTTATTACAGCCCACAAGGCTGCTGTGATCTGGCTCTGCCTACTTCTCTAATCTCATTTTACCCAATGGTCACCCTTTTGAGCCTCCCACTGCCGCTCACCCATTTACTCTTTTACAGCTATCCAGGTCTTCCATATAATTTGAACTCCTACCTGCATCAGGACCTTTGCACTTACTGTCTGCCTAGAGCTCTGCTCCTCATATCTTGTCATGTGGACTCTGCAGGCTCCTTTTTATCATTCAGGCACCAACTCCAGTGTCTCCTTCTGGAGAGTATATCCTACCTAATGCCATCCTCTCCACAGATCACATTGTCTGGTTTTATTATCTAGTATTTAGTCATTTTGTCTGTAATATCAACAGTTATGTTATAAATTTATCTCCAGTGTGGAAAAATTATATTGTCTACAGTCATGAGTTATTTTATCAGGCTGAATTTTCTGAAACTTATCTTTATAGACCATTGTCAAAATAAAAGAATTTAGAGGATATTAGTTGTTAATACATTTAGCAACCCTGCTGTCTTAGTTTTATCTATTGCTGCTATAACGGAAATACCACATATGGATGGTTGTAACAAACAAATTTATTTTCTCACAGTTTAGGAGGCTAGAAGTCCAATTCAGGTGCCAGCTTTAGAGGAAGGTTCTCTCTTTCTGTGAGCTCTGGGGAATGGTCCTTTTCTCCTTTCAACATCTGTGAGCCTGGGATCCTTGGAGATCTCCATGTGTCTTGGCATCAGTCTTCCCTTGGGTCTCAGAGTAGCTAGGCAAAATAATCTGCAAATTTAAGTGTGATATGGTTGAGCCATTCAATAGAAATTCTCAAAAGTGGTAAAGATTGTGAAGGAACCCCCAAAATCTTGGTGCTTGGCATAAGGAGAGATGTCTGCTCAAGGTGTAAGCTAAACTTCATTTTGGTGTTTACTGTTCATTCTGAGCTGACTTTCAAAGGTCACCTAACCAGAATACCTCAGAAAGGCTGCTGACTCCCTTCCTTCCTGTTCTCAGGAAGAATGCTTACTCAGGCTGGCTCCACGATATCCAAACATTAACTGATACTAAACTAATTCAAGCTTTAGGATTAACAAAGCAATGAGTAAGGAGTAAGTGACTGCTAAAACATGATTTTGTAAATGTTAGACAATCAGAATTTTTCTTTGAAGGTTCTTGAATTTTTTGTACTTAAACTCTGCAAAAAGTTCCTTTTGCTGGAGCAGTTAGTTTCAGTTTGAAGCTTTATGTTTCCCTGGTTCAAATCCTTTTTATTCCTTCAACAAAAATATTTGCTTTAATTTTATCAGAGACTTCATTTTGCTCTTTGACAGAATTAGCTCTTATATTAGTTTTTAATATTTGTTACAGTAATGAGCTGTATTGTTATTGCTGTTAAATCCATGCCCAAACCCGCTGCTACTGAGCTGATTCCCAACTCATAGTGACTCCCATAAAGTTTCCAAATCTGTAAATCTTTACAGAAGCAGACTGCAGAGCAGCTGGTGAATTTGAACCACCTGTTGTACTGCAGGAGATAGCCTTGCTCTGGTTCCCGTCCTTTCCGGGGAGAGGAATCACGGCAATTGGATGGCTCACAGGCAGGCATCCTTGCAAGCAGTCAGCGTGTTCTGAGAGTGAGTGGTGCCAGACAGGAGCGAGCAACGTCCCCCTGCTGCAGCGTACAGCTGCTTAAGAGGATCCGCGGGCAGGCAAGGGTCCCAGGTGATCGGGAGCATCGCGGTGTTTGGTGGGGTTTATAGACTCACTCAATACAAGCGTCAGTCAACACGCAAGCATCCCATACCAAACACTGTGGAGCAGATTTGACTCTAGCTAGCCCTCTTTGAGTTTCTGAGGTGATGTCTCTACGGAAGTAGATTACCCAATCTTCCTTCCGGGAAGTGGCTGGTGGGTTTGAACCGCCAGTCTTCTGGTTAGCAGTCATATGGCCTTATGCACTACACCACCATTTATTAAATGCACAAGTATGGTCCAAAGGAACAGAAGGAGTCTTTCTGGCGGGATGAGAAAGACCCCAAGCTAAAGCAAGGACGTTTTCAGAGTGGAAGCTGACCTCTCCTCGCGAGTGGGGAGGGCCGATAGAAGCAAAGGGCTTCTCCAGAGGGATGGAGGTGGGTCTTTCTCACCGAATGGAAAAAATGTTAAGCAAACTCACTGCTTTTATACTTCTTGAAAGGGGCATTCTTAGTGAAGGAGTGTTACTCAGGACGGGGCTAGGTCTCTTGAGTGACAAGTTGGTTGGAGATCCCTGAGAGCCCTTCTGTGCATGTGCAGTGTGGTAAATTACTTAGTGTGGCTTTTCTACCCATAAGTCTTTGTAAACTCCAAGGTGGGATTTTGTATGAGCAACTGAGCAGCCCCTGATTGCTGAAGCTATCCACCTGGGTTATTTCTGTTGGGAGTGACACAATACAATGTTCTGGGAGGTGCCCATTCTCTCTCACGTGCTTAGAGTTCTGATGCTATGATTGGCTAGTTTGACCACCCTTCCTGGGCTCAAAAGGAGGCCTCCTGGAGGCAGAGCTCTCTCTGACTGCTGGTGGAGGAAGACGTGCTGCTGAAAGAGACACAAGAGACACTCATTGCTGAGTGAGACACCGAGGGACCAGCACTGCTGGGAAAGAGACTGTGAGAGACTCTTGGCTGAGGGACGGTGGGCTGGGAGAGAGACTGAGCGTTCTTCCTGAATTTGAGTTGTAGCCTGGTGCTTCCCTAATAAACCCTGTAATCTGTGAGTTCTGTGTGGCCACTGCAGCGAATTATCGAACCCAGGAGAGAGGTGGTGGGTGCTTTGGGAGGAAAGGTTGGTGAAAGGGCTGGAGGGAGGCAGCATGTTTGGCCTTGCAGTAATAGGCCTTGGGTTACTGCTGGTAATCCTGCCTTCCCCTTGTAGGGTTAGAGGAGGTCAGAACATGTGGCCTCCTTGTCGTTTTAGCAGCATGCTTACCCCCTGTGATCATTTAGCTTAATTTTGATTGGCCAGGCCTCATCGGCATTTACAATTGTCGGCAGGTATTAGCTTATTAACCTTCTTAGATATTCCGTCTCTCGCCCTTTTCTCCTCCCTTATGGCCTGCCCAGAAGACAGCCCCCTATCCTATCTTACTGCCTAACAGATGGACCTTTTTTGGTTAGCAGCCCAGTGCCTTGACCACAGCACCATTGGAGCTCCTTCGTTGTTGTTGTTGTTATGTGCTGTCGAGTTGAACCCAACTCATAGCAACCCCTCCTTGGGTTTCCGAGGCAGTATCAGTACAGAAGTAGATTGCCCCATCTTCCAAGGAGTAGCTGGTGGGTTTAAACCGCCAGCCTTCTGGTTAGCAGTCAAGTGCCTTAGGCACTGTGCTACCAGAGTGTTGTTAGGTGCTGTTAAATCAATTCTGACTTATTCCAACCCTGTGTACAACAATATGAAATTGCCTGGTCCTGTACCACCCTCACCACCATCGTTATGTTTGAGCCATTGTTGTAGTCATTGGGTCAATCCATCTCGTTGAGGGTCTTCCTCTTTTTTGCTGACCCTCTATATTGGTGTTTAAATTCTAAAGCACTTAGTTTGTGGATCTACAGTGGGAGGCCTAACTCCATTTTGAGTCTTGACTTAAATTCAGGTGCCTTTTGAGTTCTTTCTGGCCGTTAAACCAGTACTGTGGCTATGCTCGGAAAGTCCAGGACCAGCCTAGGAAGGGGCAATTTTCCCTCAGGAAGAATGTATTTGAAAGTAGATTGTTGTTGTTGTTGTTGTTATGTGCCATTGAGTCAGACCCGACTCATAGCGACCCCTCCTTGGGTTGCCGAGGCAGTATCACTACGGAAGTAGATTGCCCAACCTTCCTTCCGAGGAGTGGCTGGTGGGTTTGAACCACCAGCCTTCTGGTTAGCAGTCAAGTATCTTAGGCACTATGCTACCAGAGCTCCTTGAAAGTAGATTATACTCCCACAAAGAATTAGGGAACTTGCCTGGGTGTGTCCTTAATGAC